TCTATTCTGATTTCACTGGTGTCTTGCTCAGGGGAGAGCAGGTAATCCATAGCATCGTCCACCTCCTCTTGCCCACACTGCTCTTACACAGCCTGCAGTCCTAGTGAGATCATCCCTTCTGCTATTCTCTTACATCAATGGTTGCTGCTATTTTTAGCGTGATATACACCAAAAAGCATAACATAAGAGATCCTGTTGCTAAAATTAGCTGGAAAATTATAGGCTGTTTTACTGTTTTGTGCACAGTCTTCATTTGCCTCGCTGGGATTTGCGTGCAGATCTTCAAACCCCCGAAAGCCAGCCAAGTGAGATGGTACCTGCAGTCCTCATGTCCAAGAGCAGTACTCTTGAAAAGAGTGGGACTATTTTATATCAGCAAGGGCTGGAGGCAAAGTCTTAGGTTCCACCTATAGGAGGGAAATACATTTTATTTTAAAAGTAAGGATTTACAGTCAATGAGATCTGAAAAATATAAATGTATGGACTTTTCTTTGTACTTAGTGTAACGTCCCGTTTTATTACAGCAGCCCACGTTTGTCTCCAGGAGTATTATCTGTGATACAGTATGCTAATGCACTACCTTGCTCCAAACAGGAGAAAGCACTTTGGATGTAGTCCAGATTTAACGTAGGGCTTGCCTTTGCTGTTAACCGAAATAACAGCAAATGAAAGTAAAGAATCATCCTGACTCTTCCTCTGAACTTGGCCAATCCTAGGTGTGAGGTGCATGTTTGAACCAAAGGGTAGTGGTCATTCCCACTTGTTTCATGACTCCTCTGCCTCACTCTGCCCTTACAGTCCTTACAATCTACATCTCTTCCATTCCTTGAGTGAAAACCGCTCGGCCACACCTAATCTAAACGTGCTGTGCAAGGAGCTGCTTCTGACTGTCAAAGTAAAGGTTCGACATCTGACATCAAAATGATTCCTGAAAAGAGTCCTGTCATCCAGGCGGAATTGCAAATTCTGGCCATTTGGAGATTTTAAAAATTAAAAGATCCCCAAAACAGCTGTATTTCTTATGCAAATCCTTAGCCAAATGGGAACTTGTAAGTATTAAATAAATTGTTTGCCCTCTGTTAAAAAATGATCATCTAGAAACCCAATAATTTGGGGGGGCAGGTTTTAAGCAGGCAAAGCAGTCTTACAAACAACATTTCTCCCGTGTCCTGTGAACTATTGTGCTATTGTGATTTTACAGTGCTATTTCTCTACTTTTGCAGGATTTTTCTCTTTAATGTTATGTGGAAAATCCTGAACAAAAACTGGCACTTAATGCAGAGTAAACAGTGGCAGTGACTGAATAGAAACCTGATGTCAAATATACAACCACCTTGGGAAAGTCAAAATCTATTGCTTTCTCATCTCTTCCAGTTGTTGCCTTCTTAAGTGTATTATTCATAAAATTAGTGATTTAAAAATGCATAGAAACATTATTTTTTATATTCATAGCGTCACTTTAAAAAAAATGGTTTAAAATCGATTTGCTGGCCTCTTGGGGAAATGCTGTAATGTTTTTGGCTGTCTCCTACTTTCTGCTGCCAGCTAAAAGTACCATCTGGCTTGTTTAGGGCCCTTTTCCATATCAGGTGCTTCCAAAATTCTCCCCAACCAGAGGATTGTTTCATTGGGTTGCTTTGCCTGCTGAGGCATGTGTCCTGGGCTGGGAATCCTACTGCTTCTGTTCCCTGCCATCTTGCTGACGGTGGTGTGTGTATGTTTGGGCACAGATCTTGCTGCCTCTCTCCCGAGGACATTTGCATCATTGTCAGCTGCACATATTAAATTGATATGCAGGGCTCAGAAACACGTATCCCATCTTTTGTCCCTTTGTTTGTGCAATTGTTGTGGTTTTAATTCTTCTTTGACACCTGGAATATCACAAAGCTGCTGATAATCTGTTGGCTACTAAGGGAAATGACATTGATAGAAGGATAATGTGTGTCAGACTTATATCTAGATAATTGCAGACACACCCCAAACCCTCGCAGCTCAGGGAATGAATATCCTAAATCCATTATTAATTTGGAGAGTCGTATGTGGCAGTTGGCTGCGGTGTCATCTTCTCACTGCAAGAGTCACTTGCAAGGGATTTTAAAAGGCAGTTTTGGTTAAGTCTGCATTGCTGTGTCTAGTTATGCCTAATATGAGTCAATTTTGGTGCGTTCTTGCTGCCATTTCGTGGTGGTGTGAGGAGCTGTAACAAAATGGGGTTGATGTCCTAACTCCTCACCGAAGGAAGCTTCCCATGTGCCTTCTCCTGCACAGGCATAAGATACCAAGAAGATGAGAACTGATGCACTATACGTGGTCCCAGTTGACAGTGACACCTCCTCCTCAGGATTCTTTGTTTTTCCAATTTGCTGTTTTACTTAGAAATAGAAATCTACCCCTCAAAGGATTTATGAGTAGATTTGAAGTATTGTAGTTGCTAAGTATAGACTCTTGATGTGATCGTATGGAAAGATGGAGTGTGTTTTGAAATAGATACTGCCGTAAGCTGTCTTGTCCTATTTCTAAAATCATCTGTGCCATACACTGCTGACTTTTCCTGTCCATCCATTAAAAAGTGAATTATGAAGAGTGCTGAGACAAACAGATAGTAGTTTAACCTTGTTAGTAAATATCAGGTGGCTGATATATACTGCTAGAATGTTACATCACAGCCTTTCTCTTCAATATAGGTTTATGAAATTATCTTGTTACTATATAAACTGCTTTCGCTGTGTACATTCTTCCAGAGGTTTATTGTTCTTTGTATGTTGGCACAGTAGCATGACTCTGAAGAGTCAGTTCATGATATGGTGAATTTTAAAGACTTGGGAGATGGCCATATCTATTTTTCAGCACAGGAATGAAAGCTTTTTTTTTTCCTAAGGTATTAAAAGTTTCAAGAGATGTGCTGAAATGAAAAGGAAATAATAACTAAAGACTGGATGAGCAGTAGTGCCTCAGACTACTGACTTTGCTTGTTTCCCCCAAAATCTTAATATTGTAAATACAAGTTAATATTTTAAATCAAATAAACATGTTTTGTGAACTAGTAAGATACTTGAACTATATCACACATTATTCATTTATTTTTGTGTGAGTGCAATAAAAATTTTACAAGCTGTAATCTTGTTCTTTTAATAGAGAGAAAACTATGCAGAATATGTTGCTTAGAGTATTAGATAAGCTACAGTGTGTTAATCAAATATTTTCGTGATATGAGGGCAGTTGAGAAAACAGTACAATTTTTGCTAATGGCACTGGTAAGTAAACGGATCTATCATTACATTGTCATGAAAAGTGACATTGAGCAGAAACACCCTGCCAATCCCTAGAAGATAAGTATTTAATGTAATTAGACAGACACTGTCTCCTTTGTTGAACGTAGCATTAATCACCCAGAGAAGTCCAACTTTATATGAAATGGCTTTTTCTGATATGTCTTTGTATTAGAAAGCTTCTTACATGGTTTTGTCATGATGATATATTTGAAGAAATGACCGCTATAGCTATACGGTTTTCCTCATGACATATCTGGCTGTTCTGTGTTCCATAATATTTTTTTTTTTTATTTAGCAGTGTTACATTATATAGTCATGACTTGTTTCTAAGTCTAGAAACCTACACGCACTTGGAGCTGAACTTCTTTGAAACAGTTAATGCATTCATCTTATGAAATACAAAAGAAACACAAATAGCTTCCATTATGTTCTTCAATTCTTCCTATGTGGTGTTAGCACAGGTTCATTGTTATGGCATAAGCAAAATGTTTCTGGCCTCAAATGCTAGTTCATAATATCACACAAAAATAGAACTTCTTTCTATGAAAATCTCATTGTTAAATTGATGAAAAATGTTGCCCCCTTCCAGAATTCATTGGCACTACATTTTTTTTTCTCCTCTGTTGCTTGTAATTTGTACTGTGAAATGCTTTCTGGTTATGAACTGGTATCAACTTGAATCAATGCACAGCTGTGTCTTCCCACCTTCTCAGTGGTGCAGAGGGCTTTGAAGGGAAAGAATAGGGTTTAGTCAAAGATGACAGCGGACTTCACCGAGTAACAGGTGGAGGTCAAGTCGGTTTATTTGTTGGGATGAACAGAGCGCAGAGATGAAAAATCTTTGCTATAATAAGGTTTAGGAAGACAATGCTGACTAGTCTAAGCTTTGATTCCAGCTGACAGATCCTGCTCTAGTGTTCATTACTTGATTTCACAGTTCAGGCAATTTTAAGAGGCTTAAAATTATATTTCTGCTCTCCTCTATAAAACTTTTCGATCACTTTCTAATTTTTGCTTTAAGTAAAGTTATAGGGACTCCCTAATGCATCACTCCTGCCTTTAGACTTTTACAACGTCAATATGCCATCAAAAATGTAAGGATAAGCTTTTTTTTTAGACCCCTACTTTTACTGATTCTTTCTATAAATGAAGTAAAAATTTCACATGTGGGCACCAATTCGATTAGAAAATTAAAACTTCAGAAAATTCCTCTGAAAAGTGGATAGTAAAATAAGCATGATGCTTAAGAAGTCACTGTTCCTGTGTGGGCATACAGGATTTTTATGTTACTGGTAGCAGCATTAATGAAGCTACGCCACCCCAGTGTGGTAAGTTTCAGTCACCAAGTGCCGGTGAGCCATGCTCCATCCTGAAAGGGAGTCACAGCAAGACCCCAGATAATCAGAGCAGAACGTCCTGACATTGTGTGGCGGTGCTGAGACTGCGATGACCTGTCAGCATCATTGCGTATCAATGCAGCATCACAAAGGGATAAAAAAGGGCTGAGCTGCGAGTGTGCAAGTCTCTCCTAGGTTAGCCTCCTGCCCTTCCCCTGTGCCAGCTGCTGGGAGGGGAAGGTAGGCGTTTCTCCTTTCCCACCCTTTTTCTTCCACCACCACCACCACCTGCTTCCTACCTGCTGGACTGGGCAGAATAGGAGTATCTTTAGCCATTTGCTAAAATCTTCCCCCTCAGACTTTCTATTACTTCTGCATTCATTCTTTGCAGGAAGAGGAAACTCACTGGTCAAACCCTTGGACACCAGAATAGTTGCATGCAGTTTCCCAGGGAGCCAGATAGCTCTAAAGCTTCCCAGTGAGTGACAGTTTCTCTCTTCTATTCTTCTGCAACATGTGTTTTACACATATACTGAAAAATGTTAATATAAATTTACAGCCAGATTCTTGCTTTAAAATAAAAAAAAAAAAAAATCTCCCAAAGTATATACACTTAGAGCACCTCAGCACACATGTCACTTTTTTACGTAGGAAAAAGTGTTGGATGCTCTTATACACATAACATCATTGGGCTTGAAAGCTGTTAGCTCATTCAGAGTTAGTGGCAAGAACACTGGACTTGCCAGCAGCAAACTGTGAAACCTTTTTTGCGTGACTAGTAGAAATCTCATGGGGGTAGAAATCCAAAAAAAGGGGAGGAGGGGGGTGTAAATCTGTGCATTTGGATTCGAGTATCTTCAATACCATGATATCAACTTTGTCCTAGAAGTCCTTGAATCACAAATCATTGGAGGCTGGGAGAGTATTTTGGAGAATTACCACTGTATGCTTTCCCTGGTCTTTTACTCTTTTCTAGGCATCCATTAGTTACCACTGTCAGAGAGAGGATATTGGGCTAGGTGGATCCCTATAATCTGATATGGCATGGCTATTTTTCTGTGTTCCTAAGCTCATGAGATCAAGTTATGTAGGATTATTTCATAATGCCAGAGCAGCAGTTTCTGAGGTTCGACAAAGCTATCTAGCAAAGTGTCTAATAAAAGAAAAATTCTGTCCCATACTGTAGTTTTCTTGGTCCAGTGAAGCAGCATCCTCATGCATACAAATAAAGCTACTTCTGATAGCTCCCTCTGTCCCTTCATTTTTGTAAGCTAAAGTGCCATTTTCCTTTTTACAGCTTAATTGAACCTAAATGCACCCATTTTCTGCAATGTGGTATTTTGGTAATTTTACTATTTGCTCTTAAGTTTTCCCTTAAGCAAACTGAAAGCTTCCCCTTTATCACTTCACTGGGCCAAGATTTCACACAGTATCCTGCTTGCTACAAAATATGATAGTGTTCTCTCTCACCTTGTTTCTTTTTTCTTCTTTTACTTTCTTTTATAAAATTAGGATATCTAAGAAACCCCGAACACCGCGGAGCACTACATGGTGGGTGTGCTTATTCAAACAATGCCAATGCTCTTGTTCTCGGTGCATAGACATTTTGTGTTGGTTGGGGGGATGTACCAGGTGTCCCTCTCGTGTGGGTTCTCCAGTGTCTAGTAAGGAGAGAACTCATGCCGAGCACTTTACCAGAGTGACAGCACTGGAGGGAGCACTTATTTGTTACCTCTGCCCTTCCGATGCCTGTTTTCATGAAACAAGCAGGGACTTTTTCCTTGCAAGCCCTCTGCCTCTCTGTCAGATGTGTTTTAAATTGCTCGGTAGATGAGAGAGGTGTTGGGCAGATCACGCAAGCAGACCTGCAGGCGGCATGGTCATACACGGCTCCTCTGGAAATGATACCAAAGCCAAACTGCTGTGCTCTGCCTTCTCTGCAATGGAACATTTTATTTTTCCCAGGGGTATTCTTTGTTCCTCCCAGAATCCTAAAGTCATTGGGAATGCAGAAAAATGAGGCTGATTTCACCTATCCAATATCACCTGCCTGAGAACCGATCTGTTGGAAAGCAGTCTAAGTCTCTGCTGCCTGGGAGCTGCCAAGCCTTCCCCAGGAGCTGCCGGTGGCAGGTCCGCAGTGCCATTCCAGCGGGCCCTCACCAGTGTATAATTGGCAATGGACACTTTCCAGTAAAAGAGCACAGCAGCTGTAGGTCAGCTACAAATTATTTTTTGTGTTACAGAGAAATGAGATGACTGTTCAGTCCTGTGACTGTCAAACCTGGGCAGTCATATGGTAAGAATACCAAGAACCACTGGATAGCAATACATAACAGTTCCATGAGTACACTCTTGACCTGTCAAATTATAAATCCATTTCAGTTTGGTACGATGCACATGAATTCAGTTTGCAACTCTTTCTTTCTTTGGAATAATGTATAAACTCTTCACCTCAAACTGTGCAGAAATCAGGTGACTTTACAGCACATGGTAAATTACCTGAGCTATTTTCAATCCTGATCACAGCTCTTTTATTAATTAAAACATATGTTCAATGGCAGCATATACCGATTAAGTCTTCAAAACCAATATTAACACCAAACTTAGTCTTGTCATCATAAAAGTCGTTTAAAAACATTACCATGCAGTAACTGAGGTCACAGGTCAAAAAAATCTGCATATTTACCCATCTCCATCTCATGCCTTTGGCATTTAGCAGCCATCATTGTTATATATAGCCTGGATAGCCAATGATCTTTTGATGACGTACAAATAATGAGCAAATGATTTTTGAGGAAATAAAAAAAAAACCCAGAAAATTTGACTCCATCCTCTTCAGTTACTAAAATTCCCTTTAGTATCACTTGCAATTTAGCATCCATATGCATCTCAGGAAGATATAGTTGAAACATAAATCTATTCTGGGTCTTTTACTTGCAAAAATATCATACCTCAGCTATAATCATATGCAAAGACTTTTTAGAGGGCTTTGTAAATGCCATCCAAATTTATGATGGCATTTTTTGCCTTACAGCTATAGATGTTCCATCCCCAAAGCACCCACATAAAGGTATATTCTCCTATGGATGGCTGCAGTTTGTCCCTGCTGCTATATCTAATCTGCCAAGTGTGCTGAAAAACTCTCAAATAACATTTGAAATGAAACAAATGTAGTCATGAATTTTAAATTATGAGATGTCTAAAGATGTCATTAGAATTTTTTTTTTATTCTTATTACAATAGATATTTATACAATGCAAAACAATACTGAAACTAACATTAAATCAAAGGGAAAATTATTTTGCTGTTTATTACACTTCTCATTAAAGTTTTCAAATATAAAACTCATGCAATTATATTTTGAAGAAGTTGGTAATATCTTGACTACTAGTTTATTAGGGACAACAAAGCATGAATGAAGGCCAACTTAAGAGATCTAAAACAATCCAGATGATGCTGTAAACATAGATGCAAACAAATAAGATAATACACTTTATGGGAACATTTAAGGCAGATTTTAATGGGTAGGGTTTTAAAATAATGATGAATCTTGTATTGCACAGTTTTAAAATTCTGTAGACAGGATTTTCCATTGGTATAAACTGATATTTCTCCTTTGTAAATAGAGCAGTGCTCATTTACAAAGGAGAAGTTTCAACTTCTTTTTCCTAAGTGACATCAGAATTTTGATTCTAACTTGAATTATCATTTTTGGCTAAAAATTGCTGAGGAGTCCAAAAGCATTTAAAACCTAAAGCCATTGAATCCATTTAATGCGCCTTTGGCACTTCTCTCTCTCAGTCATTTTTGAATGCTCTGGTCCTCATTTTAATCAATCTCTTTTTATTAAGTTCTTTGGCTCATTTACTTGTACGTGCATTTGCTTTATTTTATTTGGAACATTTCTTTTGTAGTGTCTTGAAAAAGAGTTGTGACATTTCTTTTGGATAGCTTCTTAAGTATCTGGCAGTCACCTATGATACGATATTGATGGGTACGGATAGATTAGTTCTGTTTTCCTGATGATCTGTCAGATGTCGAGTTCTGAAGAAACTGGTTGTGTGTGTTGGTGATGCATATGCAGTAGTTTGATAAGTTGATAGAGGGGAAGCTTTCATTTTTCTTCTATAAAATCACTGTTTATTAAGCTGGATTTAGTCTTGTGAAGCAAGGTACTCACTGGCAGGTAGTTAATCAGTGATCATGGTAACTCAGAATGTGACCAGGGGAGCAAGTATCCATTCAGAACGTAGAAATTAAAGAGCACTTCATTAGGATAAGTGAATTTCCATCTGTGTTGTATTTTGTGTATACTGGAGCAACGAATACGGTAAACTGATGGATGGCAGTTAGTGTGATCATATCTCAGCTGATGACAAATAAAGTTTGCTCAGCACTAAGTAGAACAGGCTTACTATGATTGACAGTAGTATAGCCATCAAAATTTCAAGAAGCTTGAAATTAAGAATTCCCCAGAAAAAAAAACAGCTGATCAGCATTTCTGTTGATAACTGATTTCAGTGAAATTGCTAGAATAATTTGCACAGAAGGATGAAAATTCCTTGAAAAATTCTTCCCATATACCATTTTTTTCTTCAACAGCCAACTTGTTTTTCTGCATCATCTATTTGTTCTGCATGTTGTTGAGTTCATGGTCCACCTGGTAATATCCGAGCTTCTGTGATTCCTTTTCATAGTGCCCCTTGAGAATGAAGATCCAAATCATATTTCACTCATAGCTTTTGTTATGAAATCTTCATCAAGAGTCTAGTGGCAGAGAGCTACTGGGAATATTGGGGTAATTATCCAAAAGTCATCTTTGGAGATGAATATTAGCTGGTCTACCAATGTGGCTAACTTGAGATGGAGTTATTGTTTAAGATGTGTGCACTCAGAATAATATTAGTAATTAATCAAGTGAAATTGGATGGATATACAGAATAGATACAGATATAGATATAGATTTGGAGAGAAGGGGAATTGTTCTCCTCTTGAACTGCTGTGACTGCATTCACTCCATCAAAGTTAATCCTTATTTCAGTACCTCTCTAAGTAAGGTACATAGGTATATTAATAGATATTTATTTGTTCTGGGAAGCATTTGTGCATTCAATTCTCACGCATCATTTTCTGGTCCATTTAAATATATATCAGCCTCATACATGAAAATTTGAAGATCTTTAGCTGTACTCAAGGAGGACTCTTATGTGGTGCGTTTCTAGTACTGGCAAACATAAGGAGGTAGAGGAATTAAAACCATCACAATGCTCCAGTGCCCCTTAGAAGATGAGGAACATGAAGTATTCCTGAGCATTCACTGATTAAACTTGGGCTGGAGGTTTGCGAAGTGCAGAGTTTTGGAAAGTCTTACTGCGGGACTTCAACATCCGTGCAATGGCTCCAGTAACCAGTCTCTCAAGGACAAGGATCCCATTTTCGCTTGCATTATGCATTGAGCAGAAGGGTGTGATGCATGATGTGGAATGAACAAAATAACTTGTGTGTTTAGGGAAATGCCAAATTAATGAAAATTCAGAAAGCTCTAATGTTGAAAAGGCACACAAATTCCTTGATAGAAATATAATGCTGCTAACAGTTTCAAGATTATTGTTGTCTGAATTTTCTGCTTATTGTGTACTGCAATTAAAATTCTTTTCAACTGAAAAACCAATGTCAAATTAATATTTCCTTTTGGAAAAAAATACGAAAGTACACATCTTGTTCCATTTAGCACCATCATGGTCTTTGATCTTGTTCCTTCTGTCCAGTGAAAAAAATGGATTCATGTTAATGGGAGCAGGCTAAGACCATATATGTTTGGCATACATATACTTACACAATCACATGAACACAAGTACAGTAAGTTAAAGTAACACACCCACTCAGACTTCCATCTGTGTTTTATGCCACAAATCCCTTTATTTTCTTTTCTATTTAGCAATTAATTTTTCCGTTTATTCTGTAGTTAAAAGCTGCCATAAGATGAAAATAGACTAAGTCTGATTTTCTTCTCCTGCACTCTAAATAACATTCAGAGGAGACTCAGACCTGAGTTATGAAATCTGTGTTTCCTAAAAGTGCCAGGTGTGATTGTGATTTGGACAACAGTCCTATACACAGAATAGTAAGAAACACTTTTAAACCCCACCTGGGTTACCCAGCCGTTGTGTTCTGGCTGTTCTTGTTTATTCCTTGCTCGGAGCAGATGGATAGAAAGAGGCAGGGAACGGGGAGGATCCTTGGCTCCATTCCCTATTCACTGGCCAGCGCAGCTGAGATGGGTTGGGGGATATTGTAATTTGTTGCTGCCTTGCACCAGAGAGGAAACAGAGGAGAGTCGGGACTCAGAGGTGTCCTTATGAGTTGGCACTACCCCGTCCTTGGGGCCATGTGTAGTGCTGAAATCTGGTCTTCAGTGCAGTGTCCCCAGTATTCATTAGCTCTTGGGAACAATGCTGAGGAAAGCCGTGCAAGGCAGCAGCATCCTCCCTGGGCTCTGCCCCGGGTAGCTTCAGTTTTAACTTTTTAATTTCCTGCATCCCTGAGCA